AAGGAAGGAAGGAAGGAAGGAGAAGAGAAGAGAAAAAAAGCACACTTTGGCAATTTTTTTTCTTAGCTTAGTGTTTAGCAATTACAATCAAGGGCCAAGGATGACTCGATGGCACTAGTTTCAGATAAGCCAAAATGCACAGGTAGATGTCCCTGTAAAAGTGAATTATTTCCAAATTATCAGGTTGTATACCCTGAATATATTTCATTTTTGTCAAGTAAATAATTAAAACAAAAAATAAATTATATCAAAAAACAGATTGTTTGCCTTCATAGAATATTAAAAACGGCCTTTAAAAATGTTCCATTTTAACTAAAACCTATATATGTTATATAACGTTTATGTGTGTGCTAAGACTGAATACAGAATATTAAATAATTTCCTTAGTAATTAAGAATAAAAAGACTATATTCAAAGCTGTTACTATGAAAGGTTCTATTAAGTTTAGGTAAACCCATTCCATTAAATAAGTCATCATAGAAATTACTGACTTGCTGATTCACGGCATCTTCACTTTGGGAGGCAATAATGATTTCACCTAAGATCTATTGTGAAATCAGCAGAACTTACTTAAAACAAATATTTAACTCTGACAATGGAAGTGTGAACCATCCTACAGGTGAATTGGAGAATAGATTTCATTAGGAGAAAATACCTAAGAGAGAAAAAAAATGCCTGGGAGGTGACAAGGAAAGTCTAGAAGAGCTACCAGTGAAATGCACATCTGACCTGGTGATAGGGAGAGAGAACACAGATGCTGAGCAGAAGCATCTAGGCTGCCATGCATTCTAGGGGAGGTTCAGGGAGACCATCAGGGAATCCTCCAGTCCACATTCATCCCAGGACAAGCCAGCCTAATATTCCTGGCAGGTCCACTCATTGGCTGGGAGCAGCCTTAGAGAGACATGACACCAGCACAGAGAGATGTGTTTCAGAGTACACGTGGGTATCTTTGGTCACTTACACTTTCTATAGTTGGAGTTCTGTAAGGAGCATTATTATGGCAATCACAGGTGCCTTGGGACATTGATAGGTCTTCTGTCTCTAAAACTCTCAATGATTTATTAAGTAATTGGTCTACAGTGAGGTCCAAATATGTACCACTGTCAGATGCTGATGGGGTAAATTTGGATATACATTATTACAACAGACTTGACTCTGAGGGCCTCTGTCTTATCAGTTTGCTCCAAGTTCTGACCTGAAGTTTCCCAGCTGGACTTAAATCCTGAAATATCATAGCCACAAATTCAATAACCGTAAAAATCACCGAACGTCAGGGTCCAAGAACAAACCTATGTCATCTGAGAGTACCATATTCTACTCCAGTTTCTCCAGTTCCTCTATGTCTTGACTAGAGCAAAGAAGCATCTGAAAACACAGAAGTGGCTGAAGTTCATATATTTCACTCTTAGAATTTTTGAGAAAATTAGACAAACTGACCTTGGTTGGGAGGTTCAACTCTCTAGGGGAATAATCATAATATAATAATAGAAAATTATTATTATATATAATATATACATATTAATATCACATTCCCTTCTAAGCAGTTTAAATTTATTTTTACTCATATAATTTTCACAATACTATGATGTAGAACTATTATAATCTCCATGTATATATGTGGAAACTCAGGCACATAGAAGTTAAGCAACTTGCCCAAGATTCCACAGGGTAAGTGCTAGAGTCAGATTTGTATCCTGTCTTCAGAATCATGCTCTTAGCCACTCTGCTATAGCTCTGCTGTATGTCCTCTGGCAGTGCTATTTTGTTAGTAATATAGGATAATACAGTCTCGACAAAAACTGTGTCGATCGTCAGCTCTGAGCATGTCATGGATTCCACATCTGAGTTACAGAAAGAATAACATTAGGCTCACATTTTATGGATTCATCCAAGCACCATAATTTCATAATTAGCAATATGATCATGCTAAAAAACAGAGCTTCTCAAACTGTAGGTTAATTCCCATTATTGGATCATGACCACTAATGTTGTGTGTGTGTGTCTGTGTGTGTGTCTGTGTGTGTGTTTGTGTGTGTGTGCTGGATTCAGAAATAATTTATTAACTGAAGGTTGCAGTTTAAACAAAAACAAAACAAATTTAAAGTCTTTGTTCAAGCAGCCACCAATGAAATGTTAACATTTTGGCCTATCCATGGGTCATTAGCAATAACCATTGACACTGGGTGATCAACACATTTTAAGCAGGGAAACTGGGAGTTTGTTCTGACCTAGACAGATTACACTTAGTCCTGAGGCTGCCATTTAGCCTGTCTACAAGAACTTGGTAATAAGGTAGGACAATTAACCCTTGGGAAATCACAAGAGGATTAACATCATCGGTTATTTAATCAGCCACCTTCTCCACCAAGACAACCGAAAGAGCATTCATCCTCGCTAAACTACTTGACACTGGAAAAGGCAGCTGAAAGTACCAAGGTTTCAGCTAGTTCCCACTCTTTTATTTAATATTCCTTTTTCTGCCTGCTTAGTGCACTAGCCTGACATTTTTCTTTGTTCTTATGGGCATATATCTAGCTTCCACCCACAGATCTCTTGCATGGCAAGAACGGTACAGACTCTGAACATTATTCTTCACCCACAGATGTCAAAAATGCATGAGCATGCAGTGCGTGCTGGGATGTGGGTGGTGAAGAAGGAATGAGCCAAGGCAGTCATAGAAATATCAATTTCTTTGGTGCAATTATACATGGCCTCAATACGCCCAAGGAACCATACATTTGGTTCTTCTTAGTGTCAGCTACATTTGACTGCACACCCCCTGTGGCCAGAGCTCCATGTTGGGTGTGTTGACAAGTATGGCCCTCACACTCTAGGAACTTGCAATTCAGAGAAGAGACAAGGCAAACAGGCGTGATTTAAATAGAGCACTTCATACTTCAAGAGAAAGAGAAAAAATTTTCAAAAAATTTTCCAAGTACAAATTGTACTTTATTGCAAATTCACAAGAACACATGTTTTCAACTTACAATACTTAATTATTTATATGTCCTTTAAACTTATTGGCAGCTATGGATTTTGAATAGTAGATTTTTACTTATAAATTTTGCTTCAGTCCTTCTGATTGAAGATGGCAAATGTTAACTAAACAAACAAATAACAACAATACATTTTTTATTTATATTTCCCTTGGGAAAAAAAAAGAGCATGGACACTAGTGAAAAAAAAAAACAGCCAAGCAGCAGTTACTCTAGAAAAGGCACATAATAAAACCAGCTGCTGAACTTTAGGGATGAAAATGAAGGAGTCTTCTTTGATTTTTCCTCAATTCTTCTAACCAAAGCCTCAACTGCAATTTTTTCCCCTTCAATTGCTGATAAATATTATAAAATCTGAAGTCCTGTGCAGTTATGATCATTTTAACTATGTGCGATAGAAAAAAGAAATCACCATCAGCCAAAGTTATAATATCTGAAATTTGAAAAATGCTTTTGCATAGATTTACATCCCACAGGAATCTTATGCAGTAGGTTATACAGGCTGTAACTTACACTAAAAAACTTACTGAAGTTTTCTTGGCGAGTTCCTGAAGATGTAAAACTGATACTCAGGCTTTTTGATTCTAAATTTAATTACCTTTCCAGAAGGAATGGATGAACTTACGGTTTAGTGTTATGATTGCATTTATCCTACTATTCGACAATAAATAGTTTTCACAGATCTTCAGAGAGGCAAACTGTTTGAATCTGCAAATAAATCCCGTATGAAGACTTAATACCATAGTGTGATTCTGCATTTGTAATTTTCATACAGGTAGCATTTTACAACCAGATGCCTCACCGTCTAAAGCTGGTACAGTATCCTCAATACCAGTTACAATTCCAGAAAACACCTCACAGTCTCAAGGTATGATATCTGTGTGTCTGAGTGGAAATCTGCTCTACCTGACCTTCTTTTTCACCGAGGAAACACTACCAGTCTTGACTCACAAAACAGAGCTCCTTCAGAATGAGACTGAATCTTTTGCACTTGCAGCATCATACCTACAAATCATGGCTGCTTCCTTAAATGAGGGTGGAGGGAGGACTGCAAGGATTGGCACACATTAACCAAAAGTGACCTTTTTTTTTCTTTCTTAAAGTAATAGGCACTGAGGGTGGAAAAAATGCAAGCACTTCAGCAACCAGCCGGTCTTATTCCAGTGAGTAATAGCAATATCTTCATTAATGGCAGTAGATACACAGAATGTTTGCATATGACCAGTAAAGGGGAGGAATCAGATTATGGGCAGCCTTTTGTCAACTTTATTGAGCCTGCAATCCTATTACAATACTATCTAACTGCTGCCTGCTCTGAAAATTTCCCACAGGTGAGTCGGGTCTTAATGACAAAAAAAAAAAAGAAGAAGAAGGAAGGAAAGAAAGAGAAGAAAGAAAGAAAGAAAGAAAGAGAAAGGAAGGAAGGAAGGAAGGAGAAGAGAAGAGAAAAAAAGCACACTTTGGCAATTTTTTTTCTTAGCTTAGTGTTTAGCAATTACAATCAAGGGCCAAGGATGACTCGATGGCACTAGTTTCAGATAAGCCAAAATGCACAGGTAGATGTCCCTGTAAAAGTGAATTATTTCCAAATTATCAGGTTGTATACCCTGAATATATTTCATTTTTGTCAAGTAAATAATTAAAACAAAAAATAAATTATATCAAAAAACAGATTGTTTGCCTTCATAGAATATTAAAAACGGCCTTTAAAAATGTTCCATTTTAACTAAAACCTATATATGTTATATAACGTTTATGTGTGTGCTAAGACTGAATACAGAATATTAAATAATTTCCTTAGTAATTAAGAATAAAAAGACTATATTCAAAGCTGTTACTATGAAAGGTTCTATTAAGTTTAGGTAAACCCATTCCATTAAATAAGTCATCATAGAAATTACTGACTTGCTGATTCACGGCATCTTCACTTTGGGAGGCAATAATGATTTCACCTAAGATCTATTGTGAAATCAGCAGATCTTACTTAAAACAAATATTTAACTCTGACAATGGAAGTGTGAACCATCCTACAGGTGAATTGGAGAATAATTCCCACCCCTGATAAATATATAAGGAGTATGTATGCAAGCAAATATGCTAAACTAATAGTCATCTTAATTTCCTTTAGTTGTGTGTCTATGACAGCTCTCTTGCTTTTATCACTGTACTTTTCATCTTAGAAATAACCATCAGGAAGGAAGGAAGGAAGGAAGGAAGGAAGGAAGGAAGGAAGGAAGGAAGGAAGGAAGGAAGGAAAGGAGGGAGGGAGGGAGGAAGGAAGGAAATACAAATATGAAAAACTCACCCTAAGTTACTGCAGCAACATCACTCCCCCAAACAGACACACATACACCTATCTTTCTTGAATCATGTTCATTTTTAAGAATCATCTTCACTGTGATATCTACTTACAATATTTTATGCCTTTTCTAGTTTTTAGATATTATTATAGAAAGAAATTTGTGAGTGTTTTAGAAAGCCAGCATTAGGACGAGAGCAATCCCAATTGAGTTATATATATTTTCCCAGTAACTTCATTATAAAGTACTAAAAAATGTAATGAGTGAATGTGGATTTAATTATAATCTAGAGTACAACTTCTGCTTCTCCAGTCTTCCATCTCCCCACTTCTTCAGTCTCCAGGAAGATGGGGCACTCTCTCTTAAGGCTGGAATTTTGTTTCAGAAAGGTTACAAGACTGACATCAAGTGGTTATGTCAAAAATGACAACTAGAGGAAACCCCATGAATCAGAGAAATCTTTGCCTAAAATATAATGTTTTTAATAGAATGATGTTTAAAGAAGAAAGGAAATACTCATGCTTTTGCTCAGTTACTAAACTATCGCTGTGAAATTCAGTAGCCACTCTAATTGACAACGTCTCCAATTCTTTTTAGGTATTATTTTGCCGGTGGTTATTGCTTTGATTGTAATAACACTTTCAGTATTTGTTCTGGTGGGTTTGTACCGAATGTGCTGGAAAGCAGACCCGGGTAGGTAACTGTGTTTGTTCTTATTTTCCTGAAAGAAGAATGAATATATGCTCAGTTTAAACTTGATTTTAAATTCTTAAAGGGAGAGAAGAGTTATAGAAAGAAATGAAATGTCGTATTTCCTGATCATAGAAACAAAGGACGAAGGGCACAGACACCCACTGAATGCTAGTGAATTGCAGGGTGGGAATTAAATACTATTAGTAGATATTATCAAATGTGGGAAAATTCTTTTTAATGAAATAGCCCAAATTTTGTGGGTGGTCAGGGGAATATGGTAGTAAAGAGGGCATAAAAATGACAACTTGTCTGTGGTAAAGATTAACTCCATTTCTGTGTAACAGAAAATAAAGACAGGGATTGCTAAGAATTCAGCTCAGGGGCCCATAATCTCAAAAAATGTTCTGTGACTAATTGCTCTCCTTGGAGACACACCCAACGAAAGTATCTTCCATGACCATGTTATATTTTTTATCCTTTTTAAAAATAAACTTTCTGTTTTAGAATAGACTTAGAGTTACAGGAAAGTTGCAAAGATAGTACAGGGAGTCACCACACCTAGTTTCCCCTATTCGCTTATTAAGATCTGATGGTATGTTTGTCACAATTAGTGAACTAATATTGATAAATTATTGTTAACTAAATTCTGATTTATTCTAGTCTTTACTCAGTCTTTTTTTCTGTTCCAGGAACTTTGACTCTTCTTTACTCAACCTTCATCTAAATACCCCTTCAACTCCTGCGGCTCAGCTGTCATGTTACCTTAATTCCAAACTATCTCTCCATTTCACAGCCCAGCCCCGGTCATATAATGTAGTATCATGTAACCATGCCCTCATCCATCTATCCCTTCTGGAATATCCAGCCCACCTCTTACCTTTCATAACACATCGAATCTCCAACTTACCCATTAGGACTCAACTCAAACACAAATTTACTGTATCTTTTTATAACATACCACTTCTTCAAGCAGAATGAATTCTACCTTTAATTGTAATACTACATATTTGGATTATATCATTTATCATACCATAGAATAGTTACTTATTTCTCCATGTGCCTACCTCTGTTGAAAATCAGGCAACCCCTCCAAGTCACAAATCACATATTGTTCACATTGCATGGTACCTAAAGCAGGCCCTTACTATATGCTTATTGAGTTACATTTTTAAATATACAGTAAATAGAATTCTCTTTCCCCACTTTAATTCTAAATATGTCACTAAAAAACTCTACCTAAGTCTCATAAACTGTTAAAAGGTAAAAAGCAATTATTTTTAAAAGGAATATAAGCTGCATTATTCTTTGTTTACCTCATGGACAATGTGCCCCCCAGGACACTAATGAACGTTATCCCTAAAGCCACCTACTGACCGTGCATTGCATGGACAGTTGTAGTATGATCGTGACAATACCAGGAGAAACTAGGAGACCAAAACAGCAGAGTTCATTTTAGCTCTTGGTGAAAAGTAAAAACAAATCAATGCCTTTTCCTTTGGGAATCAGTGAATAAACTTCTTAAAGTCTGAAACATGTCTCCTTGTTCAGTTTTCAGAGGGGAAACAGCATTTTTATAAGTCAGTTTAATTTCCCTAAGTTTCTGAACTACCTACCAATCCTATCTATTACTGGAAATCGGCTATCCAAATTGAAGCCTGTGAGTGTTGAGTATATAGGATAGGTAAAAATTAATGTGCTAAATTTATTTGTAAAAAAAAAATGCTATACTAAAAATTACTTTACATAGGAAGATTTAAGAATACAGTATTTGAGAAGTTGATATTTTCTATTAAAGAGGCTTCTGTGGATGTGTAAAATTCCAACCACTATTGATAGCTATTCTGAAGACATAAGTATTTTAAAGTCAAGTTTGGCAATTGTACAAGTAGCCAAATCTTTTTGGTTATTGTTAACTTTGTTTCTGAGACAGAATTTACAGCACTGTTATCATTAAATTAGCACCATTAAATACCTGCAGTTAATCACTCTTCAAGTATGTGGGAGAGACTTTATCTAGTTCAAGAAATTAGTAAACCCATTCTGCTCTGTGGAAGACAACATGAATCAGAGATTTCAATATGAAATTAAGCTTACCTGGACAAGGTTGACAGTGGACTAAGCTTTAACCAAATAAGAATGGTATATATGCAGAAAATAGTCTGTTGGCTTGCATCTATCTGCTAATGAGAATATTGCTATAGTTTCCTAGGGAAAAAATATTAAAATAGGCATATAAAAATGTCAATACATTTTGCTGGAGAGAATGCGGAGAAAAGGGAAACCTCGTACACTGTGGGTGGAAATGTAAATTAGTACAACCACCATGGAGAACAGCTTGGAGGTTCCTCAAAAAAACTAAAAATATAGCTACTGTATGATCCGGCAATCCCACTGCTGGGTATATATATGCCTAACACAGGAAATCAGTATATCAAAGAAATACCTGCATTCCCACATTTGTTGCAGCACTGTTCACAATAGCCAAGATTTGGAAGCAACCTAAGTGTCCATCAACAGATGAAGAGATAATGAAAATGTGGTGCTTATACGCAATAATGTCCATTCAGTCATGAAAAAGAATGAGATCCTGTCATTTGCAACAGCATGGATGGAACTGGAAGTAATCATGTTAAGTGAAATAAGTCAGGCACAGAAAGACAAACTTGCCATGTTTTTATTTCTGGAAGCTAAAAAATCAAAACAATTGAACGCATGGAGTGAGAGAGTAGAATAATGGCTACCAGAAGCTGGGAAGGGTAGTGGAGGGGAAGTGGAGATGGTTAATGGGTACAAAAATATATGAAGTATGGATAAAACCTAGTATTTGACAGCACAATAGGGCAACTATAGTCAATAATAAACATAATGGTACACTTTGAAATAAATCAATGAATATAATTGGACTGTTTGTAACGCAAAGGATACTTGAGGGGATGAATACACCACTGCCATGATGTGATTCTTATGCATTGCATGCCTATGTCAAAATCTCTCTTATACGCCATGAATATCTGCACCTACTATGTACTCACAAAAATTATAAATTAAAAAAATCAACTCATTTTAAAACAGGGCTATTAGCATCACAGTTGATACTGTATTTGACACATAGGAATCAAAAAAATGCTGTTAAATCCTTACTGATGGAGCAAAGATGAGGTTAAGTCTAATTGGTCAGCAGCATATGGTGCCATGGGTTAAATCCTAGGGATTGAGAGTTATGATTGGATATCTTAACCAAGATGACAGAAATAGAAGCAGCCAAAATATTAGTGGAAGTTAAGGTCTTTATAAAACAAGGATAGTCAAGGCCAGGAGAATTACATTCAAAGGGCATATTCAATGACAACATTTAGATTAAATATGAAAGGAAATCTAAGAAACAGAAGCTGAGTAGCAATGGAATAAAACCAGAGCAAAGGAGCACAACAAGGGAAACCTTATGCAATCACATTAAACAGTTGGCCTGATTGGCCATAAATTAATGCAAGATTTGATCACTAACATTCACTCCAGAGAGGCCACGTCCTTATGCAGAATGAATCATTCTGAGTTCTCACTCTAAACCCCAGGTGTTTTCTACCAGACAGTTGTGAAGCAGCCTGGCAAAGAGTACAAAAGATTAGTTGCAGCTAGTAGCCTCTGTGATATTTTGCAGGGCTCTTTTGAGAGGCTGAATCAGTGGGTTTAAGATACAATTAGATATAGTATCTACATTGTAGCTCACCACAAACAGTGATTTGTGTCCCAGAAAAGAACAATGTATAAAAGAAAGTCAAAACTTCAATTCTCTGGCATAAAATCTTCAATACTTTTAATAGAATTTTTTCAGAGATACTGAAATAAACAGACATTTTCTGTTGTCCATGGGATATGCAATAATGAATAGTAATTTCACATAGTGATATGAAACTACAAGATCAAGATTAGTCCAGAACTAAATGTAGTGGGGTTGACCTAATTAGGACTATCCCATGAATGCCAGGATAAATATTAACCATACCTGAGGAAATGGCTTGGCAAAGGGAAAATTAAAATATTTTAAAACGGCTTAGAAACATCTCTGTATAGAAAAGAGTGGGCAGCAGGTAAGGGGGTTACAGGGGCTCAGATTTTTGGTAGCCAACTTCTTTGCAACTCTAATTTAAACAACTCCCTCTTCTTCTAGGCACACCAGAAAATGGAAATGATCAGTAAGTAAGCCCATATCATCTTTTGTTTAGATCCTACCATTTACATGTGAAAATTATTGTTAACTCTACTTATGCTTTTTTGGATTATTTTCTAAAGTGTAGAAGCACTACATATTGGCTTTGACTATTTGTCAGAACTCTCTCCATTTAACAGAGAAATTCCAAATATAAGATCATGTTTAATCTTGGAGTGGTAAAATGGGAAATAAAAAGATGAAATGGAAAAAGTAGAAGAAGGAACATAATTATGAGGCAAAATATCATAGAAAAAATCCCTAGAGTTTTTAGATAGTTTTCCCAGTGACAATTTTTAATGTTTATCACAGAGAAAATTGTGCTTCTACCTTGAGCCAGTTCTCAGTGCCTTTAAGGTAGATGGCTATTCTACTTTGACTTGATTAAAATAAAGCAGATTTTACCAATCCAAGCAACTGTAACAACCAAGGTGCTGCAAAGAGACATGATGAACTGTTTTTCATGTCAAAACAAACCTTGTTTTCCTTGTTGACATGAGTTTGCGGTCTACCTTTATACAAGTGTTTTTATATTTCATAAGGTTGTAAACTTTAGAAATAATGCTACATTACTATTCATATGACTTAGAGACTCCTGAGATGTCCAAAGGAAATAATTAGAGTTTGAAACTCTTTCGGATAGGTGAGAACTCTTGATTAAAATAGACAGTTCAGATACCGTACTACAGTATCTCAGGACTTCATGAAAAGGATTATCTCCAGAATTCAGCATAAGCCCAAAAGGTTTGTAAACATTTATATGTCTTCCTCTCCATAATTCAGAATTGGAGACATGTGCAATATGGACCTTGTGCCATGTGTTTCACACAACTCATACTAATTTTTAATTTATCTGACAATCACCACTATAAGAGAGTGGCAGGGATTTACTGGCTTGATTGCAGAAAAAGTAAAAATTGCTAAAAAGTATATGTGTATTTGTACGTGAAAAGACAAAGTTCTTGCCATGGAAAGATATATGTATGTGTGTGTGTATATATACATATGTATATATGTATATATACGCATATGTATCTTCATACATATGTACATGTATATGTATATACATACGCATATATATATGCATATGTATCTTCATCATTCTGTTTGTGTCACAGTACTTTCACAAACATTCAATGCTGATTACTGTGGTGCTAATTTAATGTTTTCTGTTTCAAATAGACCTCAGTCTGATAAAGAGAGCGTGAAGCTTCTTACTGTTAAGACAATTTCTCATGAGTCTGGTAAGTTTCCAGACAATCGATTAGATGAAAATTAGTTATTTTAGAATCTAACTATAACCTTGGATTTTGTTCATGTGAAACATAAACAAAAAGCCTAACTTCTTTAGAAATAGCCAATTACTGTCAATAAATGTAAAATTCTCCCATGAAGGAAAGAAAAATCTTACCATTTTGATAAGATTATTGGACTATGTGGCCTTTAGAGGTTGCTTTCTATATATGTGTGGATGTGTAGATGGCTGGAGGCATTTCCTATTCTGCAGGAAGGGCAGAAAGATCACAAAATTTGTTAACAAGTTTTTAAATTATTGCTGTTGTTTTGTTTCATTTTGGTACTGGCTATGTAGAGTCACATGTGGTCAAGAGGACAAAAAAACTGGTCATCAGTTAAAATGTAAATCAGGTTTTATATCATTTATATAAATTTAATCATGCCTCTCCATAAAGGTAAAATATAATATTCTATTGATGTAATGTGAATGTTTCCAGTTTCTTAGGTATATTCATTTGATTGGAATTGTAAAAGTCTTTCAAAATATAGGTATGATTTGTGTCAAGAACAATGAAAAAATGTGATGCTGGATAACTTTTCAAAATTAAAATCATAGATTTTTCTTTGTTTTGAGTAGATCAGACATTTAAACCATTGATATCACAAAACAGATCAATTAAAAGCAATTATTAGTTTTATAAAATAATCTAGCTGGGAGCTGTGGCTCATGCCTGTAATCCCAGCACTTTGGGAGGCTGAGGCGGGCAGATCACCTGAGGTCAGGAGTTTGAGACCAGCCTGGCCAACATGGTGAAACTCTGTCACTACTAAAAAATACAAAAATTATCTGCGTATGGTGGTGCATGCCTGTAATCCCAGCTACCTGGGGGACTGAGGCAGGAGAAATGCTGGCACCCGGGAGGCAGAAGCTGCAGAGAGCCAAGATCCTGCCACGCACTCCAGCCTGGGTGACAGAGGAGCAAGACTTCATAAAAATAAATAAATTAATAAATAAATAAATAATAAAAAAAACTTGTGGGTCTAATTTAAATATCACGTTACATTAATACATTTACAATATCCAATTCTCCAATTGAATATTGGGGATAAGCTATATTATAAATATTGCTGGTGGCTCAAAATAATTTCGTAAAACAGAAGCTATAAATATTGTCCCAAATCAAGAGCAAGATATTACAGGCTGAAAGTGGTTTCAATTTCATGTATAAATTCAATGTAGAACAAACGGCAAGAGGCAAACAGATGAGCTGAAGAGCAAGGACAGCTGAAGCCTGCGCAGGAATGCTAAAACCCCTCACATGAGCCATCTTCTTTCAGGAGAGAGCTCCTTTTTCCTTGCATCTCTTCCACTCTTTAATACACACATTTCCTTTATTCCCGTACTATCCTTTGTCTCAGGAGGAACCATCTGAAGGGTGCAAAGGAGCAGAATTTACTCATAAAGTGGTTAGAAGCCACTCACAGTTTCCTCCTGGCTATTCACCAGCCTTTACTCAGTAGCCAGGCCTATTCTACCAGGCCAGGGAAAAGGGCAAAAATAAAAAAGTGGTCAAGCAGGCTAAATGTGAACCAGTCCTGAGTAAGCACAAGAGAGACCCTAAGCATGACTACACGATTTATCAAGAAAAGTCCTCAGAATCTGCCTGTGGCTTGCAAACAGGCATCACACATATTCCAAACACTCTGCAGTCATGTTGGCTCTCCAAGCGGTGAGTTAGGGTGCTAAACATACCTGGAAATGTTCTGTGTAGAAGCTCCCAGCTCTCCTTTTGAGGACGGCGCTGGGATCAGGACGACCTGCAGTTTTCTACCACCCATTTCCACCAAAGAAATAGGACAACTGACACTAGAATCATGACTTCCAGCAGGGGGAAAACCTCAGAGAACCTTGTGTTTCTTGGTTGCAAATGTAACAGCAGACTCTTCTTTAATGCCTGGGGAAAATTCTATGTAGGCTTTCTCCCACTCTCCCGGTGACTAGAGCAGTAAGTGAAATAGACGGTGGCAGAATAGTTAAATCGACCCTTAGCCCAGCTAATTGCCTTTTCTTCAAACAAAGTCAGGTCACAGCTCTAAAAGGGAGATTTTATCATGGAAATAGTAACATATAGTCTTGAATACTTTTATTTCTGCCAACTTCAATTTAGAAATTATATTGCTTTTAGCAAAATAACCTCTCAAAGGGCAACCCAGATAACTACCATGGAAAATATTTGGTGATAGGGCAACACTGAAATTGGTGATTCAGAGTCGACTTCAGTAGTCCAGAATTTATTATCTAAAATACAATGCTATCCAAATGCTCCTTGTACTACCACAGTTTTTATTAAAGTCTATCATTAACAGAACTTGGTGTCTCCCCAAACACTAGCAAACAAATTTCTTCCCACTGCATTTCAAAATGTATTCAAATATATTTTCTTTTTAATACTATGCTCACTATACTCGAGAAGTTACATTACTAAAATTATTTTTACTTAAGTAACTTCTCTTACCTAATACTGATGTCTTTCCTAAAAAATAAGCCAAAAAAAAAAAAAACTTAAATGACTAGGTTTGATATAAGTTCACAAACTTAGCTCAATTTTTCTACTGCTGCCTAGATAAAAATTTTTAGAAATTTTTAAAATATAGAAAAACATTGATAGAACAAATATCTGACTACCAACTACTCAGAATTGATGACTGTTACAATTTACTTTCTTGGTTTCAAGACCTAAGAAATATAATGTTAATTAATGAGCATAGAAGGGTAACACAATGAAATTTGAGCTTCAGTGGTCATAAAAATTATCTGAATCTGTCATTACTTCAGTGTAGAAACCCTGGACTTTTTACCATGGTACAGACCAATAAACAATGTTTCCAAGGAAACAGCCCTCTGCAGCAACCCACCTTTAGGAAAAATGCCAGTGGATGTCAAATCTTCTGGTTTTCTAGAAGCCTGAATGAACCACAGTTAAAGTTCTGGTCATTTTCTCCTGGGAAGAGAGTTTTTTCACTCCAAATCTCTCTTTTTCAATTAGGTTATGGAGTAAGTAATGTGGTTGATGTTCATCCATCCATTCTCCCTGCTTCCTTTAAATATATTCTTTGTTGAATAAGGTCTTCTGCTGAAGTTGTAACTCATGCATGTTTAAATTTAGAACTCTCTTAAATGTAAAAGAGAAAGTTTACTAGGGTCTAACAAGAAGATGCTCTCAGGAAAAAAAAAAGAGTATCAAATGTTGCAGATCAAGGAGTCCTTTATAAGAACATATGAGCTATTCCTCAGCTTTAGTAAGGGATCTCGTCAGGTTAAAGGTCACCATGATTGACTAAAAAATGTATGTGTGACGTGTTTTAAATGTGATTCTTATATCATCTCAGAAATCTAATACACATTATCTCACTTTTAATATGTCAGGTTATACAAATTATAAAGAAAAAATTTGGAATTAGAAATATATATGACTCTATGGAAGAAGAAAAACATTGTATCACTAAACTTAGCTTCAAAGCATCAGTTGACTTTGAACCATTTAGAGTAAGAAAAATCAGATCTGAATTTATTAGAATACTCCTCTGCTTAGAAGACTCTGATAGGTAATAACCTAAGATTAAGTTCAAACACCTTAGCATGTCTGCAACACCTTCCATGATGTGCCTGCCTTCTCTAGCTCAGTTTTGACAACACTTGATATGCAATAACAACGCATATTTCTCAGACTTCATTTATTCCCTTCCCTGTCCCCTGACTGTCTCTGTCTTTCTGAACCCAGCTTTCTTGAAGGAGGAGTCTCTTGTTCTTCTTTGTCATGTGCACTTCCCCGTCTAATGGTAATTACATATGATTAATATGTCATTAGCAAACTAATTAATTAGTATGCTATGGCAATTATTCATTAAGTGCATAGTCATCATTTTTTGCTTATTTTTACAAATAAAAGTTCATTGAAAACAAAAAATGAACCACAGAGTAAAAATGAACAAAACATTCACAGATTTATAAAGCCGTATGTAGAATCCTCTTCTGTCATCAGCCCTTCAATATTTGTCTCATTCTCTGCATTTACACCAAATTTTCCTTGACTGTTTCAAGTGCAAATGGTCTTTCCCTCATCTTAAGATGTTGTTAATTTGGCAAATTAACATACTTTACTGCCTTATAATATTTTTTCATGGCTGAAACTACCATTTTAATATTTGACCAGATTATGAATAATGAAAAATAGAAAAAACAGAGAATAAAAGAGAATTTAAAACTACCCATGAAACAATCTTCATACAACCACTATTGGCATTTGATATATTTCCCTCTGGATGTTTTTATTTTCACTAGATATGTATGTGGGTTGTTTGATTTTACTATAAATATCATTATTCTTGTTACTGATATCATATTGTTATTAAATTTTTCCCAAAATTTCTAGTCTGTCGATTAGACAGACCTTGAGGAAGAATATTAAGAATTGTAAAGATTTTCAATGACTTGCTTTGCTTGACTTCTGGCAGACGCTAGAGGATGAATCAATATTTATTTTGTTTACTTCTCATTCCAGTACTTCATAGCCATGGGTTCCAAACAGGTGCTGCGTCGTTTGCAAAATGAACAATAGTTAGCAAAAGATTGCCTTGGAGCAGGGTCTGGGAGTGCTGCAGCACTATGCCCAACATTTCTCAGAGCATAGAACCGAAGGAGCTCTTGAAGAGGAGTCTCGAGTTTGTTCTCCTCAAAGGTCTCTGGCACTATTTGTTATTGCCATGTTGATACAAGTAACAGGTGACATCCTCAGAGTCCCCAGAGGACAGATTTCCTAACAACTGGCAAACAAAAGCTGGAGCAAAATGATGAAATTTATTCTAAAAGCTGGAGATTTTGACCTATACTGCTTTTATATTGTGTGACTGACGTTGATACTCAGTTCTACCTAAAGGACAGAAGTAATGCAAAATATGTTGGTAATGAATCCACTATCATGGAAAAAATACTTGGAGCCTCTCAACTTGTCATCATCCTAGGTTAATATTTCTGTGTATATCGGATGGTGGAATAGCACTGGGATTTTGAGTAATGGCACCTGCGCTGCTCTGTATATCACCCAAGTGTTCATTTGGCCTATAAATTCATTTTCACAAAACCCTCACTGAATTATTTAAACAGAAGGACCCTAGAATGTCTTCCTGATAAAATGGCACTTTAAATACATGATATGGGCTTGCTTAGGCAGAGCCAGGTCATGTAACAAGGAAACATCAATACTCATTCCCCAGGGTTTCTCTGATGTTATTATCTCCCAACTCACATCTCCCACACCCACTGCCCCCTGACCTATCCCACCCAGGACTTCATATTGCTACTTTGGAGTGAAAACAGATGATGGTTTGGCAAAGCTCATATATTTTGGTGACTAATTTCTAGACAATACCAAGAGGCAAACGGTGGCTCTAATGACATTCTTGCAGGAAAATTGAACTTTCCTTGAAAAATAGGAAAAAGCTAGGAAACTTTGTTTTCATCCTTACTCAGTCTCTGAGCTTATAGATCAAAACATATCTTCTGTTCTCAGGTGAGCACTCTGCACAAGGAAAAACCAAGAACTGACAGCTTGAGGAATTCTCCCCACACCTAGGCAATAATTATGTAAGTTTCCCTATTTCATTCACGGAGACAATCATTAAGATCTGTTTTGTTAGCCTGGTGCAGTTTAGATTGTTTTTAAAGAATTTCAAAAGCTGAAAAGTTAATGGTTTGTGTCAGTGCAAGTATCATTCATTATTTATTTGTCTAAAAACAAACTCTAACAAAAATTGCCAAAAAATGCATGACCTGGTGGTTGTAGACGATTTGTCCAATTCTCTTGCCTATCTAAGGAATGATACAATTTGTTCTTTCTGCCTGTTTTTAATGTTTCCTTGTAAATATAGTCTGCCTACCTAGGTCGGTAAGCACACACTAACTGTGGCACTTAGACAGACTTCTGTTGCTAACAAAGACTGGCAGGATCCAAGTGACAGTGCTTGCAAATTTGCAGTTTATTGCAAGAAAATGATAAAGCATAGAAACTGCGTTACAGTAAAGATGTGTATCACGGCCACAGTCTGGTTCAGGGAAATGGGTTCAGAGAAGCTAGATGAAGGGTCCAACTGCCCTCTCTCTATAAGGACCATACCAGAATACATTTTCTCTCTTCTCTCTGGGTCTAGAAACCATGGATGTGTGGAAAAAACACCTTCAAAAAGATGACGTAAAATTCAGTTTCAGCCAGGTTTCCTTTTACTCAGCTGGTCATGTAGAAATAGTCTTGCTGTGTAACCAGCCAAGCGACAGAGCCCTCCAGATAGCGTGACAAAATCAGATACAAATGATCAATCTTACTACAATAATTGTGAATCAATAAAAAATGGAAATTTCTCAAAAGTGTATTCCATGTCATGACCGGGAGTAAGCTCAAGGCAGGTACATTTCTTATTTTAGTAAAGAGCCCAGGTCAATGTTAAACCTGCCTTGGAATTAACTCTCCCAGTTGGTATGGGATTGCCTTTTACTTTCCCAGAACTGAGTAAGGAAATGCTCTTCTGACTTTAACTTAATTGTTACAAGAAGTATCAATTAAGTGTTGTCACTTAGTTTTTGAGGTTTTATAAAACTTGTAGAAGAATCGACCCTTCGGCAACTAACAATAAAAAATAAAATAAAATAAATGCATCTCCAGAATTGGCCTGATCACAATGGTAGTCACTCTAGGTAAAGTGTCCACGATGAGAAATATTGTATTCATGGCCTAGGTCTACTACCTAACTACTAACCCTGTGCTGTTACAGACACTCAGAAATTTCTTGTAGAATAAATGGTACCTGCTGTGCTTGTCTGCCCAGTAGCAGAAGACAAAGACAGAGGAGTGCCATCCAAACACATGTGTCAGTATCAGGATTTTATCCCCCTCTAGCCAGTAATTAGGGATGGATTAGGAATCTTGGAATTTGTGCACTCTCAGCATGCTGCAGTGCCCTCTGGAAAAGAGGCAAGCCTGCCTCTCCCTGCCCTCCTGCTCTTCACCAGTCATGAGCCCCCAGCTTGGGCCTGCAATACAATCACCTTTTCCCAGCTGATTAATCTAATAGGCAGTGGCTCTGAGTGGCAAGCCAAGGTCTCTGCCCCTGCTGTGACCAAGCTTGGGGGAGAGAAAAAATCCTAAGCTTGTCTCAGGCCTGCAGTGCACAGTCTGGGAGTGCTAAGCTGAGATCTACGACCAGCACTTGAGTGGGAGAGGATCACACACTCTCAGAGCACTGAGGGGGAGCATGGCTACAAATGTGAGGAAACACAGAGGGGCTGCATGGCTGGCTAAGAGTCTATCTACCAGCCATTATGTTTAAGCACTATCTGTTGAATTGCAAACCAAACTTCAACACCAAAATACTTTGGTAATATAGTCCTCTGCAAAACCAAGGACAAGAAATCAACTACAAATAAAGACCCTGCACAAAGCCTCAGCCCTCTGAAAACATATAGGAATGAAACCCACTATACTCAAATTATGCTACAATTAAAGAAACATCACCCCACATAGGTGAGAAAGAACCAGCTCAAGAACTCCTGAAATTCTAAAAGCCAGATTGCCTCCTTACCTCCAAATGACTGAACTGGTTGCTCTGCAATGATTCTTAACTAGAAAAAAGATGGATGAAATTACGGAAATAGAATTCAGAATCTGGATGGCAATGAAGATCATTGAGAATCAGAAGACTGAAACCCATTCCAAGGAATCTAAGGAATTCAACAAAACCATACAAGGGATGAAAGATGAAATAGCCATTTTAAGAAAGAAAAAAATGAATCTGATAGAGCTGAAAAACTCACCACAAGAATTTCTTAACACATCAGAAGTATTAACAGCAGAATAGATCAAGTCAACGAAAGAATCTCAGAACTCAAAGACTAGTTCTTCACATTAACATAGTCAGATAAAAATAAAGAAAACAGAATTTTCAAAAATGAACAAATCTCCAGGAAACATGAGATTATGTAAAGAGGCAAAACTTATGACTCATTGGCATCCCTGAAAGACAAGGAGAGAAAGCAAGCAGTTTGGAAAACATATTTGAGGATATTGTCCATGAAAATGTCCCCAACTTAGCTAGAGAGGTTGATATTCAAATTCAGGAAATTCAGAGAACCCCTGCAAGATACTATATAAGACAACCATCCCCAAGACACATAGTCATCAGATGTTCCAAGGTCAATGTGAAAAGAAAAATATTAAAGGTAGCTAGGGAGAATGGGCAGGTCACCTGCAGAGGGAACCCCATCAATGGCTAACACTGGACCTTTCAGACAAAACTCTATAAGCTAGAAGAGACTGGGGGCCTATATTCAGCATCCTTAAAGAGAAGAAATTCCAACAAAGAATTTCATATTCAGCCAAACTAGACCACATAAACAAAGCAGAAATAAAATCCTTTTCAGACAAGCAAATACTAAGGGAATTCATTACCACCAGACCTACTTTTCAAGAGGTTCATAGGGAGTTCTGAATATGGAAAGAAAGGACCATTACTGGCTACTACAAAAACACACTAAAGTACATACAACATTGACGCTATAAAGCAAAATCACAATCATGTCTACATAAAACCAGATAACAATAGAATGACAGGATAAAATCCACACATATTAATATTAACCTTGAATGTTAGTGGGCTAAACACTCCATTTAAAAGGCATCAAGTGGCAAATTGGATAAAGAAGTAAGACCCAAGTGTATGCTGTCTTTCAGAGACGCATCTCACATTCAAGGACACCTACAGTCTCAGAGTAAAGCGTTGGAGAAAGATTTATCAAGCAAATAGAAAACAAACAAACAAACAAGAGCAGGGGTTGCTATTCTTATTTCAGACAAAAGAGACTTTAAACCAAAAATGATCAAAAAGGACAAAGAAAGGCAGTGATAAAGGGTTCAACTCAACAAAAAGACTTAACTATCCTAAATATATGCACCCAACACTAGGGCACCTAGATTTACAAAACAGTCTTTTAGTCTTACAAAGAGACTTAGGTAACCACACAATAATAGTAGATTTCAACACTCCACTGATGATATTGGAGAGATCATCAAGACAGATTACTAACAAAGATGTTTGGGACCTACATTTGACAATTGACAAAATAGAACTAACATGCATCTACAGAAAAGTCCACTCAACAAAAGCAGAATATAAATCCTTTTCATCCATGCATGACACATATTCTAAAATTGACTACATGTTCAGTCAGAAACTAATTCTCAATAATTTCAGAAAAGCCAAAATCATATCAACCACATTCTCAGACCACAGCACAATAAGAATAGAAATCAATACCAAGACGATTTTTAAAAACCCTGCAATTCAATGGAAATTAAACAATCTGCTCCTGAATGACTTTTCTGTAAACAATGAAATTAAAGCAGAAATCATGAAATTCTTTAAAATTAGTGAAAACAAAGATACAACATACCAAAATCTCTAGATACAGCTACAACAGTGTTAAGATGAAAATTAATAGCACTAAATGCCTATATCAAACAATTAGAAAGATCTCAAACTGACAATCTAACATCACACCTAGAGGAACTAAACAAATAACAGACTAATCCCACAGCTAGCAAAAGAAAAATAACCAAAATCAGAGATGAATTGAGTGAAATGGAGATGATAAAAACTATGCAAAAGATCAACAAAACCAAAAGTTTGCCTTTTGGAAGAATAAATAGGACTGATAGACTGTTAGCTAGACTTAAAAAGAAAAGAGAGAAGATCCAAATAAATGCTATCAGAAATGATAGTGGATATTACCACTAACCCCATAGAAATACAAAAAACAAAGAAACAAAAAATCCAGAGACTATTACAAACATTTATATGTACCCAAACCAGAAAACATAAAAGAAATAGGTAAGTTCCTGGAAAAACACAACCTCCCAAGATTGAACCAGTAATAAACTGAAAACCTGAACAGACCAATAACGCATTCCAAAATGGACTCAGTAATAAAAAAACCTACCAACCAGAAAAAGCCCTGGACAAGACAGATTCACAGCTGAATTCTACCAGGTGTATAAGGAAGAGCTGGTACCAATCCTACTGAAACAATTCCAAAAAATTGAGAATAAACTCCTCCCTAACTCTTTCTATGTAGCTAATGTCACACTGATACCATGAAACCTGCAGAAACACAATGAATAAAGCAAACTTCAGGCCAATATCTCTGATGAACATAGATAAAAGTTCTCAACAAAATACTAGTAAAGTGAACACCAGAAGCATGTCATAAAGCTAATCCACCATGATCAAGAAAGCTTCATCCCTGAGATGCAAGGTTGAGTCAACATATACAAATCAGTAAGTGCAATTCATTATGTAAACAGAACTCAAAACACAAATTCCATGTTCATCTTAATAAATGCAGACAGAAAAGGCTTGTGATAAAATTTAACAGCTTTTCATGTTAAAAACCCTCAACAATCTAGGCATTGAAGAAACATACCTCAAAATGATAAGATCCATCTATGACAAACCCACAGCCAACATCAGACTGAATGGGAAGAAGCATCTGGAAGTGTTCCCAGGAAAACTGTAACAAGACATGGATGCGCATTTCAC